AAAATAAATCACATAGTTTTAGAACCACAAAATCAAATATAATTGTCATTACCATTTTCAAGGTAAGCAGATACCAAATTTTGCGTGCAAGTCTTAAATGACATTATCGAAATATTTCCAGTCTCGGAATTCCGTTCGGACCTCGATATCACAAAAACCCGCTCCAAACCAAATGTAAAGAACTTCAAAACCCTTAAAGAATCAATTTTCACTATTAGGCGCCAAAATGCTCCCGGGTCATCCAAAACCTGATCCGGACATATGCCCAAGTCCGAAATCATCATACAAACCTGTTGGAACCTTCAAATCCCAATTCGAGGTCGTTTACTCAAAATGTTGACCGAAGTCAAACTTGGCCCTTTAAGCCAACCTTAAGGACCAAGTGTTCCGATTTCAACCCAAACTCTTCCATATCCCGAACCAACCATCCCCGCAAGTCATAAATCAGTAAAAGCAAGTAGGGGAAGTCTTATTTAGGGAGATGGGGTTCTAGAAAGCAAAACGACCAGTTGGTTCATTACATATAGCAACAAGTACATACTCGTAGCTATGGACCACGTGTCCAAATGGGTGGAGGCTACAACGCTCCCTACAAATGATGCAAAGGGGGTAATTGGTGTTTTGAGAAAGAATATATTCACCCGATTTGGCACTCTAAGGGAAATAATCAGTGATGGAGGTACTCGCTTCTGTAATCGGGCCTTCGCAAAGTTGTTAGAAAAGTAGGTTGCCACCCCATATCATCCACAAACGAGTGGGCAAGTGGAAGTTTCGAACAGAGAGATAAAGATCATTTTGACAAACTGTGAATGATACAAGAACTGATTGGGCGATAAAGTTAGATGATGGACTCTGGCCTATCGTGCCGCTTTCAAAACTCCAATCGGCATGTCGCCGTATAAATTGGTATTTGGGAAGACGTGTCACTTACCAGTGAGTTAGAGCATAGAGCTTTGTGGGCATTGAGGCAGATGAATCTTGATATAGAAGATGTCGGTACAAGTAGAGTCACAGAGTTGCACGAGCTTGATGAGTTTCGCTACCACGCTTTTGAGAGCACAAGACTATACAAAGAGAGAATGAATATGATGCATGACAAAAATATCCTTGAGCAGAGTTTTACACCCGGAGATATAGTATTGCTTCACAATTCAAGATTGAGGTTATTTCCGGGCAAATTAAAGTCAAGATGGTCAGGATCATTTTGTGTGGTAGAGATTCACCCCACTGGTGCCATAGACATTGCTGCAGAAAATGACTCTCGAACGTTCAGAGTCAATGGGCACAGGTTAAAACATTATGCGGGTATGGATGACGCAAAAGTAGTGTTGGTGACTCATTTGCTCGAGCCACCAATGTTGAGCGAGCTTTAAGTGCGATGACCTGCGTCGTGCCGCGACGTTAAGCCAGGCGCTTCATGGGAGGCAACCCATTGTAATGTTGTATAAAAAATAGAAAATAAAAACAGATGAAAAAAAATTCAACGTGCGTGGCCGCGCACTGACCGTGCATATGGTTGCGCATTTTTGAAATTCTCTACCACAAATGCACGGACGCACACTGGGCGACGTTGGTAGGGTGTCTGATTAGTTGTTTTACCTTTTATTTTTCATTTTTTATTTTTTCTCTTTTCTCTTTTCTCTTTTCCCTTAGTTGTTTTTTTAAAAAAAAACAATTCCCAGCCCCTTCCCCTACTAATCTATCTAACCACATTACCCCCCCCCCCCCCTCTCTCTCTTAACCTAGACATCCGAAAAAACCCCCTTCTCTTAACCGAAAATTCCCAAAACCCCTCCCTTCTCCCCTACCAAGTAAGAACCCCCCACTCTCTCATCTGATTACTCTCTTCTTCTCCCCAACCAACATCCTCTAAATTCCATTAGGTAAGTGCTCTTGTTTACTTTCTTTCTTTTTTTAAGTCATTGCTTAGGTTATTTTAATTCCTCTTGTATTGTAGTAGATTTCCTCTTGTGTTGTATTCTAGTTGCATTCATTGGTATGTCGGGGTAATAGTCAAATTTCAGCATGATGGGTTAGGTATACATTGGTATATCTGTGGTTGAATTGGGGTTATCAATTGTTGTTTGGGAGTTCGGGTGAATTGTGCACTTTAGGTGTTTGTATAAATGCCACAGTGAGTTTGAGAATGTAATTTTGTGACCAAGTGTGCTGGTGAAGTCTGAGTAACCTCCCTTGGTTCACATATCGTGCCTTTCGCTGATGGTGGTATTTGTTTCAAGAAGTATGACGCCATCTAAGAAACGAAGAACCACAGGTGCATCCTCTAGTGGTCACGCTGGATCATCCCGGCCGCGAGCTTCTACTAATGTTCGCCAGTATGAATAGTACCAAGTTCGTATCCAGAGTGGCTCAGGAACGTTTTGGTCATAAGGCCTCCAAGAAACCCATACCGGAGAGGGGAATTGATATGGGGTCCCTCCAAAATATTTGTCCCAGTATGTATCGTGAATTGGTCCGGTGCAGGCTAGATATCTTGTTTGAAGAACCGGACGAAGCCAATTTAATGATTGTGCGGGAGTTTTATGCAAACTACCCGGAACATGTGAACCACGTCTGCACGGTACAGAGAAAGAGTGTGGAAGCCTCCATAAAGGCCATTCCGAGGGCTTACCGGTTGCTAATGTTTAGGGAAGATCCTGACGCGGAAGACTACTATGACACCCATGGCAGAGTACCAATCCCGTGGGAGATGTTCTTTATGACAATATGTGTACCCAACAAGGAAGTAGTGTGGATTACGCCGCGGAAGAAGTTTCATTCGGCTTCGTTCACCTTTGAAGGGAAGTGTTGGCTCTACGTCATCAATAGCCTTTTGTTGCCTTCTTCCAATACCACTGAGGTGAATGGTCCCCGCGCTGCATTGATCTGGTGTTTTATCAATGGCCACGATTTTGATGTGGCTAAGGTTATTCATGACGAAATGTTCATTCGTTGTCCGATGCAAAGGTATGGGTTCGTCTTTCTTTCATTAATCACTAGATTATGTCGTGCAGCACGTGTACCGGAAAACAAAGAATTGGATGGGAAAGTAAAAAAAGAACAGAAGTTCCGGGCTGATAAAGTGGTAATTGGGAAGGATCTTGTTGCACCTGTTGAGTCAAGTAGCGATGAGTCTGATGCTCCTGATGAGGGTACTGAAGGACAAGCTGAGGCTGCGGCTGCTTCACCCCCGCACGAGCAGGTTGTTGAGGGAACCTCCGTGGTCAGATGGGACACGAGAATGACGGCCTTGGAGTAGGAAATGGCAGGGATGCGTACTTCTGTCACGGACTTGGGCACTCAAGTGGATGCCCTTGCTACCCAACACGCCAAATCTGAGAGGAAGGTCATGGCTTGGCTGCGTGCGCTTGGCAGGGCTTGCCATCTCGATCCCGGCACTGTCTCCGACCAGGACTGACTCTACCAAGGAAGTTTCCTTTACCTTACATTTTTCTTTGTGTGCCATGGGGACATGTCACCATTTAAAGTGTGGGGTGGGGGATATGTTGTATTTATGTTGTATATATATAGTAATGTAAATTAGTTTTAGTTCTTTGGTTAGTTTGAACGGAAAAAAAATCAAAAGTTCGACTCTTCCCGATGATGGAATCATTCGACAGGTTTCTCGATGGATTAAAGTCGAAAGAAAAAAGACAAAAAGACAAAAAGATTTTCTTTTGTTACGTAGTGTAACAATTACCCTTGATTTTTCTTTGGGCCGCGGTTCTTTTCCGAGGGTTTCGTTTGAACCGGTGTAGTTAGTTTAATTTTTTTTTTAGAAGTAGGAACCCTTGGGCTATGAGCTGAAATGAAAACAAGGTCTCTCAACTTCATCATGCCTTGAGAATAGCGAGTGCTTTAGCGTGACGCTTAGGCTCAGTTGTTGACTCTTATATTAGTGCCTTAAATTGTATGTTCTTAACTTGGCTTAAGTTGTTTGACTAGAGTGTTGTTGATGATCCAATCTTGAGTGAGTCATGTGCCATGTGCGTGTGAGGTTTGTTGTATTTTGTGCATTACATCTGATGTCTAGAACTTGCCCCGTGTGTTTGCGAAGTGAAATAGTAGTTTTGTTCAGTCTTGGAAGTGATATAGGCATTTCTTTGTTGAGCCAATGATATGCTTTTACCACCTAATTGTTATGTATCTTAGTTAACTCTTTTGAGCCTGTAATCCTGTTTCCTTGGCAACCACATTACAAGCCTTACCCATTTGTTTAAATTAACCATCTATTTGAACATTTTCACCTCTCATGAGCACTTGAATTGTTATGACTTTGTAAAAGTTAAATTGTGGGGTGGTTGGGTGGCTTTTGAGTGGAACTAATAAAATAAGGAGAAAGGAGCACTGTTTTGAAGAAAAAAAAAGAGTAAGAGCCACTTGAATTGAAAAAAAAAATATTCTTTGATAAGTGGTGACTCTTGATAAAAAGGTGCTTAATTAATTGGGAGTAATGTATATTGATTTGAAGGCGGAGTTATGGTTTGACATACGTATGGGTTTGAATGATAAAGTATATGTATTAAAGTGCTTAGGGAGGTGTAGTCACTCTTATATTCAAATGTATCCTATGACCCGCAACCTACATTACAATCAATTAAAGTCCTACTTGACCCTAGACTGAATGAGCTCGATTAGTAGAGTAGTACATTACGGGCAAGCCTATGGTGCATCTTTTTCTGCTTCTCCTCAAAAGCATTTTTTTTTCCTTCCAAAAGCTTGGCCAAACACCTCAATTTAAAGCACTTTTGGCCCCCCAAAAAAAACTTAGTCAAACAGGCTATATGAAGCATTTGAGACTTACAAAAACAATGATTGCGAAACCAACATAGGATTAAAACTAAGCTCCCGTTTGGTCATATATTTTGGCTACTTTTTTTAAAAAAAAATTAAAAACATTGTTTGTTCATAAAATATGATCAGTTTTTGAAATTTCCAAATGTTAGTTTATGACGATTTTCCGGTGAATTTTCTCTTCCACTCACAAAATTCAACTTTTCTTCAAATAAAATGCATGTCCAAACACAACTTCCAAAAGTTATTTTTCAACACAACATCAAGAATTCTATTTTCAAGTTTCAACCAAATTTATCCAAATGCTAGCTAAATATTCAGATGTTTGTACTGAAGGGTGTGCCTTTTTCAAAACTATGAAGTCACAAAGATGAGATTTCCATTCTTAAAGTTATACTCCAGTTCAAGAAACAGGGCTTGTATAAAAAACAAATATGAATGCACTTAGAAAATCTGGTTGGTCTCTGAATGATACGGGGTTTAGAGACCATCCAGATTTTCACATAAACAACTCCGCTTCTTGCGGGGTTCTAGGACTCCATCCACCTTGCAAATCATTCTTTTATACTTCTCTCTCAAACGTCTAACTTTTTCTCTTACTTGATCATAAAATGCACCCATATCCTCTTTTAGATAAAGCCTTATTTCTCTCCTTGAACTTAAGGATAACTTTCAAAATGGAAATCTGTTCATCACTCCATACATGCAAAGGCGCACCCCTCTATTTTCATTTCTTTTAACTCTCTTTGGAGAAGCAGGCACCCCCTAAGTTTTCTCTTCATCCCCAGATGGTGTTTTGCTGTAATGCAACCTTTTACCCATCTTCTCGTCATTGTCTTTTTCTCTGTACTTCACTATGTTTCTTGATATCCTGGTTTTGTCTTTTTTAGGCTTGTTCTTTCAGGCCATCTGTTTCAAGCGCTGCTTTTCGGAAGGTAGTGCTTCTCTTGGCTTAAACAGGAACACTTGTGCTTCTTTGTCCATAGAGAAATCTGAGATTCCTGAGCCTGAATGTTCTGCCATTGTTTTAAGTGAAGAAGAAATTAAAGCCTATATTTTAAAAAAGAGAAAATGGTAGAAATTGAAGTACATCTGAAAAATAGAAAAGGTCCAACCTTGTTCTTAAGCAATAGAACTCGGAACCTCAGTCACAGTCATCTTGCTAGTTAATGTAATTAACTTTTGAGTCTCCTCATCCATCTTCACATTATCCTTTTTCATCCTCTCTGCAACTATCATTGGCATCTTACCCGCTTTTGCATAAGTTCGGAGAAGTGCATTATATATCTCTGTATTCCCATATTTAGCATGTCGAAGGGTAACTAGCAACTGCTCTGCCACCTGAACATTGCCCTGCTCTTCAACTACATGAAACATCTCTTGAACCATCTTTGCATCAGGATCCCATTTTGAAACACTAGTAACAGCTTTTTTGAAATATTCTAGAACTTTACCCATTTCCTTTTGCTTCAAATAACCCCATGTAAAAAGCTCCCAAGTAGTGTAGCTAGGAGATACGCCTTTCTGCACCGTTCTGTTGTGAAAATCGACAGCCTTTTCCATCTCATTTTTGTTAATGTAAGCAGCAAGAAGTAAATTTGAAATCCTAGAATCCCTCGTCACAGAGACAGATTCCCATTCAGTATACAGATTCATTGCTTCTCCGAACTCATCCAGTTTCAATAGAGAAGATACCATACAAGTATATTCTGCATCATTCAATTTACGATAGGTTGACTTCATCTTCTTCCATATTCGCAAAACTTCATCCTTGCTCTCTAGATTTGTATGCAAACTAAGGAGAGAACCATATGCAGCTCGAACCTTTCTGGAAATCCTTTTCTCCATTTCTCTCAAAGTTGACTTTGCTTTATCCTGAAGTGAGCTTTTAATATAGATGTTTGTTAATGTGCTAAAGGTTATCCAGTCAGGATCTAATTTTGCCTTCTTTAGCTCGAGGAATGTTTTCTCTGCAGCTTCAACATCATTCTGGGATGCACAAACTGCCAACTCCAGGTTGTATGTGACAATATCAGGAGAGGTATTTTTCTTCAATTCCTGAATCAGGCGGGGAACCTTCTCTAGTTGCCCTTGGGATATGTATAAGGAAAGCATATGATTATAAGGAAGAGGGCATTTCAAGAAACCACATTCGGACATTTTTTCCATCAAAGCCTCAGCTTTAGCAGTATTCTTGTGCTGGACATAGTTGTGGAGAAGGGCGGTACAAGTGGTCTGGGCCTTCAGTTTATCAGGTAGGTCTTCAAAGAACTTCTCTGCACTGTTCATACCACGAACTTTTGCAATCAAGTCCAAATGAACTGCATAGTCACCAGGTAATAGTTGGATATCATCCTGTACCCTCGTCCATTCACAAACCTGTAAACATAACCCCATCAGCTTGTATTAATTTTAACAAAATGAGAACAGTGGAAGAAATAAATAGCATGCTTGAAATAAGCATTTACAGCATGTTTGCCATTCTTAACATCAGTAGCACAGTTTTTATCAGCAATAATCTAAGAAATTCCAGCAAGCTTGAAGACTCCAGCAATTCTCTTTATAAGTGAAGACTCGGTAGCAATTGCAAATACTGTAACAGATATTCACCTTCTCAATCATAAGAGACCATTTCTTGGACTAGTAACCGTCTTTTCAAAATCCAATGTAGCAGCGTGTACAGGGAATTGGAATTTGTGTTCAGCAATTTAACCACGTAGATATTTCACTTGAGTATTCAGTAAAAGAAATGGATAGTTTATAGTTCCAACCCTACCCCATCTATCCTTCGGCCATTTCCATGAAAAATATAGAAGCTAGAAAACAGTCAGCAAAAGGTATTCCAATGCTGAAATACACTACCACTACAAGCCAAAGAAAATGAATGATTCAAAACAAAATCATGAAACAGTTAATGTGGAGGATGAGAACCTCAAGGGCATGTTTATATCGTTTGTGTCTTCGCAACTCCCGAACAATGCGATTGAGCTCATACTTGCGGACAGGGTGCCCTTCTTCCTTCCACTTGCGTATAGCAATGACAGCACTACGCTTTGCATAGATCAAGCTCAAAAGCCTCTTCCCTAGCGTGTCTCTGCCACTAGTACTTATGGTAGTACTAGAACCACCTTTTAAGCTTGTGGTAATACTAGTGCCACCTTCTAAACTTGTGCTAGAGCTTGTGCCACCTCCTAAACTTGTGGACTTCACTGCCATTGCAGCTTCAGTCGATAAAGGGCGAACAGCAACAAAAGATCGCCGCACCAAACGGAGCAACATTTTTATTCTTAGCACAGACAAACTTCTACTCATTAAGGTCTGCATTGAAAAGAAGATTTAACATGAGATGACCATGTAAAGAAAAAATGCCAAGATAAGGCACATCTATAACACACCATTTTAAGATATTTGAGTCAAACAATCTTTGTAACAACAAATTATACATAAAATGTACTTCACCACATTTTTTATGAGGGTTGTGTTCGGGCCAGCTTGGTCGTGCCTACCTCAAACTATTCCATTACACCACATTGTCTAAATAAAAACCCGAACAATAGTAAGTGTACTTTCAGACCTGATATTGACATCTTTAAATTTAGATTTTTAATACTAAATCCATGACCAATGATTCGCCAGCCCTAACTACTGATTCTTAATATAGCTACAAATAGCCCAATGATTCAGCAGCAAAAGCACAAAAAGCAGACTGCTGATATTTGTCTAGTTCTAAGCAGACTGCACAAAACGCACCCACAACGGGCCTTTCAAAAAAATAAAAATATCCAACTTTTTCTGGTAAGCATAAACACCTAATATTCAATTTTTAGGTACCAAATAAACTTTCAGTTTTGGCTAACCAACCAAATTACAAGCTGTAAGTTTAAACTGACTGAAAAACTTAGGCTTATGATTTATGAAGGAGTTGAGAAATGAAGAAATAAAATGATCAAATCAGAAGAAATCATACCAAGTGAGTGTGTGATTTCGCAGGTCAATTTGCTCGCCGGCGAGAGTTTGTATTCTCAATTTTGTATCTGAGCATAGCCGAAATAGGGTTTAGGGTTTATTTCGATTTGTTCCCACTTGGCCCATTAAATAACAAACTTAGTAGTTTTAGTTAGCTATATTATAGTTGCTTATTAATTACGTTATATATCTATACTTACAAGTTATATACAAAAAAAACAAAAAAAAAAAAACAAAAAATTGAAGATCCCTTAATTTTACACTGTCAATTATACGACCCCCCCCCCCCCATTTCCAACAACCCCCACCCCTCTACATTTAACCCCCACCCCTCTACTTTTAGATTCTACTTTTTTTTCTTTCAAAGGATATCAAAAACATTTTTCTCTTTCTTAATAATCACCA